TCCCAAGCAGAAATATCATCAACACAGTTAACAGAAATCGCTCATGGCCTGGAAGAATCGAAAGTGAGCTTCTTGTGGGTAGTGAGAAAGAATGGAATAGAATTAGGTGACGAATTTGAAGACAGGATAAAGGAAAGAGGAATCGTAGTAAAAGAATGGGTTGATCAGAAACGGATTCTTGAACACGAAATCGTGCAGGGATTTCTGAGTCACTGTGGCTGGAACTCGGTGTTGGAGAGTATAAGTGCAGAAGTTCCGATACTGGCATGGCCAATGATGGCGGAGCAACCCCTTAATGCAAAAATGGTAGTGGAAGAGATTAAAATTGGGTTACGGGTCGAAACAGTTTATGGGTCGGGCAACAAATTTGTGCCCGCGGAGAGCTTGAAGAATAAAGTGAAAGAACTTATGGAAGGGGAAAATGGAGACAAGGTGAGGAAGAAGGTGAAGCAAGTGGCCGAGGCAGCAAGGAACTCCATGATGGAGGGCGGCTCATCTTGGCATACATTAAACCAACTCATTAAAGAGATTTATTTGCAAAATCAGCCAAAAAAGTAAATAAAAGTTACTTTTGAATAAAATTTTGTTCTTGTAACTTAATTTTGTTCCAAGTTTGGAGTGAAAGTATTCACCTTGCCGTAAAAATATACCAGCGGAGAGAAATAGGGTGAAAAATGTAGCAGCATGTTTGGCCTAATTATTAGGTGTTTTAAGAAGTATGCTTTTGTTAAACTTCTTGGCTACTTCCTTGCTACATTTATAGGGGATTTTACTAGACAGATTGTCAGTTTGTCACAATTTTCTTGAATATTGGACAAAAACAAGGTCAAATCAGTCAATTCCATGTTGTTTCTCATATAAAATTTCCGGCAAAAACCCCTTTAAGCTTAATTCTAATAGGTTTCCTTTTATTTTGACTTGCACAAATTTAGAGGCCATCCAACTGTCAATATGCTGAACCAATCGAATTGGTACACCAATGTTGAGGAAGAGACTAGATTAATAGCATGAAGAAGGCTCTCTGAATTGTCATCAAATGAAGTTAGACCAACATGCTTACGTTATATATATATATATAGGGGCACTGGCGAGCCTTACACTCAATAAATTTTTTATTGGGATTTTTACATACTAGTTTGACTTTTAAAAAAATAAAAATTAGTTCAATTATTGATCTGTCCCTATTTAGGACGCATGATCTGTCCTCACGACGAAGATATAAAAAGAAATCAACTTAAGTCGGGCAGCTACACGTAGCTAAAAAGAGCAGGCTGAAGCTGAAATATATCTTAAAAAATTATTTTTTGAAAACTGTTCTCGATCGGGAATGCTTGTGAAAAATTATCTGAACAGTTGGGACTCCACGTTTTATGATTACAATATTTTATGCATATATATCTATCATGAAATCTGTTGGAAAATATATTATGGCAAATGAATTTTCACTTGTGTATGTGAAATTAATCCCACATTGATTGAAAGTTGGGATTTGAAGAGGAGTTTTAAAAGGGATTAACAATCCCACATTGGTTAGAAATGGAAAAGTGGGAATATATGGGGACTATAAATAGTACCATCCCACATTGGAAAAAGAAAAAAGAAAGTGGCAAGTGGGAAAACTTAAATAGTTATCCCACATAGGATAAGAATAAGTTTTTGGACCAATTTATATATGGTTAACNAATAGATTGGAAGCCTCATCCAACAAAAGGACCTAATTTTTTCTGACTTTTTTCTCAACTTGTATAGAACGCTTAAAGATCCCTTATGTAACTTATATATATTTGTGTTTATCCATTATCTAACATATAAAGAAATTTTAATTGGGCAAAAAAAAAACTAAACTTTTATAAAATTATATTTGTGATATTCAAATTATGAGCCTCCCTCTTTAAATAAACAAAATTTAAAAATAAAAAGTAGAGGACTATACAAGAGGTCATATAGAAGAAAAAAGAAAAGGTAGACTCAACTGTAATAGAAATCAAATACATCGGAAACAACAAAAAGATATTGAAGAAGATTATGAGAGATCGGACATCAAAATAGGTGAAAGTCTCGTATACAATTCTAAGAGGGGGATTTTAACATATCTCAATAAAGTCTATGATTGGTTCAATCTTCGTTTAGTTATCTAACTTGCAAGTCCGTTGGAAACGAGTTTTGTAGTCATAATCTTAATTTCTCAAAAATTGCAATTGATTGGGACTCGTTTGTAGTTTTCGAAAAAATTAGGATTATAACTACAATTAATTCTTTATTTTTCTCTTTTTGTTTATTTAAAAAGGAAGAGTAAATTCATTATTTAACAAGACTTTACGAAGAAGAATTTCAAAAAAATTGGGTGATTTAGTGGAATAATGCTCCAAAATAAGTATTTGGAAAAATGTAAATGTTATTGGTGTATATATGCCAGAGAAATGCTATACTTACACACTTGGTACACAACTCTCACATGTGTATGGGTCCCACAATGTGGGTCTCATTGTGAGCCCCCACACACATGTGAGAGGATTGTATACCAAATTTGTAAAAGTAGCAAATTTGATATATGCCAATGGTTTTGTTATGTGTACACATCACGGTGTACAACTCCCCTTACAATAAAGAGCATTGAGCCCTATAAGAATGTATTTTGGAATAATATATTAATTGAGAATGTGTGGTTAAAAAAAAAAAGAAATTTTTTTTAATTTGCATGACTGGCTCGCCCGCGCCCGGGGACTCCTCCGTACGCTATGTGTCCGGATCACATTAGACCACACGTCTGATTAAGATTCGAAATAAAGATATGAGAATCTCTTTATGTCAAATTATGATTTGAATTATATTATAAAGACGGAATCGAAAGATCAAATCATGTACTGCTCATATTCAAATGAGGAATTTGAAATTCAAATTGACGTATACAGTATTAACATATACTGTATAGATTAATCACCATGTGAGTTAATCATAGACATATAATTCCCAGGAATTCGAATCTATTGATTCGAGTACCGTCATTGTATTTTGAATGCTGAATTATCTCATATCCTCTTTCATAGGATGTGGTAGATCTGGTATATCCGTAACATATCGTCATGTTGATCTATGGCTATGAACATTTGGGTGGAAATGTTCGGCGGAATCTGGGTCGACTATGTCGAAGAACCTAGGGTTCCGACACATATACTTGCCGAAGAACTGGAGAAAACAGTGCAGGTGATCTGCACCGTCGGAATGTTGTTCCTGACATACTCTGATGAACAGAACATTAATCGGAAAATTAAAATTTTTAATTTGGTCGAGGACGATTTCTTTAGAAATTCGACATCTGGAATAAGTTAAGAAATAGTTCTTAGCGTTTATGCAGAAACGCGATGAAGAAGATGGTGTCTCCATACTGTTCAATGAGGGACTCAAAAAACTTTCCTATTCCAATTGGGGATTGGGGACCTATATATATGTATAGAGTTATTTGGAGGAATCTATCCCCGAATGTGAATAGTTCACTAATTCAAATTTCAAATTTGATGAAATCCCGCCCTTGCAAACTATACACGCAAATTTAAAATTTTTTCTTATTTTTTAATCACACATTTTCTATCAATTTACTGTTCAAAAATACACTCTCAACAAAAATATGGACCTCAAACAGGTCTAAGGCTGCTGTATTCAATTTGGATTTTTGAAAATTTGTTAAACTTTTTTTTAGGTACTAACATATGTGAATTTCATGATTTTTTATTGATTTATATGGAATTAGTGGAAGTCTTTTATAAATTTCTATAAATTTTTATTTTAAAACTTTTGTAGATTTTTGTAAAATTGAAAAGATTTTTGAAAACTTTCATTTGAAATAGAATTCATGTATATCTAGTTCAATAGTGTGAAATTATCACATACAAGGTAGCGATTCCCACAGTTTCCCTTATCCATCTCATTCCCATATAATAATAAAAATGATAGCCCAATGATAACTTATCAAGAGGGAGTGAATTGATTTTTTAAAAACTTTTTCGAAAAATTAATCTAAATTCAAGCAAGTAAAAGGGAGAGATGATACAAACGATGAATAAAAGATAAGTAAGCAAGATTATTTGAATAGATCAATTTAAATAATAAGCGCAAGTTTGAAAGCGATAAGTAAACGAGAGAGATGACACAAACAATGCAATTGTGGAGGTTCAATTCAAAGTAATGATCTACGTCCTCCGTTACCAACCTCTTCGAAACGAACAAAATCTTTTCACTATGTTGATTGACTTATGATGCAATCCAACATTTTACAACGCTTTCGATGACTTATAGACTAGGAGCAACATTCCTTATACAATGTTGAGCTTTACGGTGATTTCAGCACAACTCACTATTAAGCTTTAACTAGACATCAATATGATCCACACTATTGAGCCTCTATGGGACCTCAATATGACCTACACAGTAACTTATAGTAAGGAGCACCGATCCCTTGGAAACGGTTTCATATGTAGTAAACAAATCCTTATTATGACACATACAAAACACACACGCTGAATCCAGAATCCAATCCTTATCTGATTTAGACTCGATGTCAGAAATAGTCAAGAGATCTCCATCACTTACAATGTTCTCTACGAGGTCTGCTTCACCTGAAGTCTCTAATTGCTTCTCATATCGACTTGCAGCCAACATTTCTTTGTACGCAATTTTTAGCAATCTTTCTTCATGTACTCCTTCTCTTGCAAAATGTACAAATCTAATTACTGAACTTACACTTCAATCTGCCCTTTCCAGAACCACCATGAGCAATAAGGCATTCTCCATCTCTAACCTCTAAAACCAGATGCTTCATCTTCTCTTTTGAGAACAAATCAACATATACCTCCTGAATGATGAGAATATCACTATTATACAAGATCGTGTCTTTAAATGAAGAAAATGAAGCGGGCAACGAACACAATAGGATCAAGGCCAAATCTTTTTCATCATACGTTACTTCCAAAGTTTTCAAATCAGCGAAGATCTCTTTAAATACAGTCAGGTGATCTTCCAATAATCCTCCTTCTGCCATTCGATGAGAGTATAAACGCTGCTTGAAATGCAACCATAAAGCAGCTGCTGAACGCTCCTTCAAAAGGTGCTGAAGAATGGTATTCGAGAGATGAAGATGAATGTGAGAAACTGTTTTCTTATCCTTACGTAATTTCTCCTCCGCGGTCAAAGTCGTGGGCATCTTGTCAATTTCCAGCAACGCATCATCCAAATCCTGTTGTGCGAGTATTGTACGCATTTTAACCTACTATAGCGAAAATCTAGTGTTCCGATCCAAAAGCAGAATGTCATAGTACATGGAAGCCATCACGAACAAAAATCTTGAACAAATCAAACCATGCGCTCTTGCGGAACTGTTGAACTTGACTCTGGTACCACTTGTTCTGAAACAAACAAGATATTAGAATCTCTCTTATACCACTTGTTGTATTAATTATACCCAGAATATCTGGTATCAATTGTTATGAATTCAAGTATCACGTATCGCTCCTTACCACTTGATATGAAACCAACCACCGGATTGAGATGTTGAAGTTATATGA